GAGCCTGCTGCCTCCAGAAGAAATGTCCGGGCAGCCCGGGCTCCCCCCAGGAGGGCCACGACATGCAGAGCTAGAATACAGTGAATTTAAGTTTCTTTAAACTGCGAACCCCGTGGCAGTTTGCTACGATGGCAACCGGAAACTAACACAAGGGTAGTACAAGACAAGGCCAGAGTAGCCTGGTCTGTTGAGAAATGTGGGTTTCATTTGAGAGGCAGTAAAGAACTACAAAAAGTTTTGACTGAAATACTAGATTACAATGAGAAGGTAGGGATAGTTGCTGGTAAGCAACACTACTCCCCAGTTGTCACGCTGTTTCGATGTTACCGCTGTCTGGCCTGCTGGACATTTCTGGACACAAACTGCCTGAAGAGCCAGCAGCGCATCCTTAGCCATTAGTCCCGCCCTACAGCTGATAAAGCTCGAAAACTGCAGCAGCTCATAAGCCCCAAGTGATCTTTGTAAAAGCTACCAAGGCTTGAGCCCCGCGAGCAGAACTGAACCTGGTGCCTCCTCTTATTGTTAATGGTAAACACTAACGGGCATTAACAACCAGCCAGTAGTAAACAGCACCCAGCAACCGAGAAGGTCAGCGGTGGGCTCAAGCCAGCCGTGAGTCCAGCCACTCATCAGTCAGGTCACTCGCTCTCACGTCAGGCTTTCCACTCCACCTTCTATCACCCTTTCAGCTTTCCCTTCTAAGCCAGGAATGTGTACAAAGATCTGACCCAGGGGTAATGGATAGGAAAATCTCACAATGAAGCAATTGTCTAAATTGGATATAATTTCACATTTCTACTGTGCTTTTACAATCCTAAAAAATACACTTACATGAAATACTATTACTTTGCATCTTAAAAAGTAGACTGCTGGGAGCACTTGGGAGGCTGAGGCAGGAGGGGTGCTGCGAGTATGAGACCAGCTTGGGCTACAAAGTGAGGTCAAGGCCAGCCTGAAATGCACAGCGAAATTCTGTCAGTCAGTCTCTCTCTCTCTCTCTCTCTCTCTCTCTCTCTCTCTCTCTCTCACACACACACACACACACACACACACCCCATACACACACACGAGTAGCCTGTGCAGTCACTTTTTCAGTTTCAGAATGTTTGTCCTCTTGGTTGCTGACACAGAAACATTGTAATGCGACAGGAAGGAATGTTACAGGGCTTCCTAAATCTATTAGGCAGATTGAGCAGAATCTTCCCAAATACCACACTACAAGAAAATGCCAGAATGTCCACTCGGAAACAACCTGAGGGTCGGAGTGTGAGCAGGAACCAGTCGTCCTTCCTTAGCCTTCACGCAAAGGTGTGGGAGAGTCACGCAACCAAGCCCTAACGCGAGGGGTACGCGGCCAGTACAGCTTTAATTTGAAAATCTAATTCTGCCAGGAAAAGTTTCAGCACCAAGTCATTCCTCCTGCGAGGCTGGAGAGGCTGGAGAGGCTGGAGCAACACCGACACTAGCTGCTAACAAAACGCAAAGCTGACCTGGCCGGAGGAGCGGCTGGGCGCCGGTGCCCCAGCTGCTGCAAGCAAAGCGGGGTGGCTTACCGGTGAGGAGCCACAGGCAGGCGACGGCGAGCTCTGGGCTGGCGGGGCGTCGGGGCGCCATGGCTGGAGCGGCAGCAACCCCGGCGGGCTCGAGGGCGCGGACGGACCGGGCACCGCCGCCCCGTCTCTGGGCCGCCCTCGCCGTCCGCGTGGGTCTCGTCCTCGGCTGCGGCCGCGCGGCCCTGGCTCCGGAGTGAGGTCCTGACTTCTGAGCGACTCCCCTTCAGTGGGCTGCACGCTTTCACCTCCGCAGCGGGATCCGCTCCTCCTCGCTTGCAGGCGAAGTCTCACTGGCGAGCTTCCCGGGCTCAGGCAGAGGCATGGACAAATAAAGCCAGCATCGCGGGTCCTTTTTCGGCTAAAGTCCACAGCAGGCTGGGCAGACCTTAAAGGGACATCTGCCTGCGCAGTGAGCGCGGTCGCCGTCCGTGCCAAGCCCCAGAGACGGTGCAGGACGGGCAGGGCCGGCGCGGGCGCTGAGGAGGTGTCCGGCCCTGCTCCCCCAGCAGGCTGCTGCTCCCGAGCCCGAGCGCACGCTCTCCAGCGCGTCCCTCTGCGAGTGAGCGCGGAGCTCTGCTCCAGGACCTCCCGGGCCTCCCCGCGGCCGCCACGCCCACCGGCCCCGGCCTGCCCCAGGGGTCGCAGCTGCCGGGTGGCGCCCGGGGATGCTGCAAGCACACGCACGCTGGGGCTCGTCTACCTGGTTCTCCGGGGAGGGAAAACCAAGGGCAGCAGAGCAGGGAGGAATAAGACTGGAAGAAGAAGAGGAGAGACGTGCCAGAGGAAGGGGCGTGGAAGGCGAGGGAGGGAAGCAGCCTGGAGTCGGAATGCGTGGGCTATTTTGGGCTGGATCGGGAAGTCTGTACCCTGGGAGGCAGGCCTAATACAGAGCTGGGGCGTCTCGTCCTGAGTAAGTGTGCTCGGAGTGGCGTCCCGGTTGCAGCTCCCTGGAGACTGCCCCGGAGATGTGCCCGAGGGCTTGGTCTGTCCTTCCCCTGGTGTTGAACAAACTTGCTGGAGTCCAGAAGCAGTTGGGTGCATAACCTCAGCAAATGAGCAGCCGCGTCTCGGGGTCTCCAGAACCCCAAAGAAGAGAAAGGAGTGGATGGGGGTGGAGATGGGGGGTCCCGGGTTTAGAGGAATCAGTTCAACCCATAATTGAGTGTCTCTACAGGGGAAGGCAGCACAGGGACGCACCGCATCAAACTCAAGGGACAGGAGGAGCGCTAAGGCGCCTGCAGGGAGGACTGTACGCACCGCACCGCAGACTAAGGGAATACACAAAGTGAAACTTGAAGGCGAAAGGAAGGCGCTTATTGAAGGTCAGAAGTAAGGTGGCAGAGCCAGCCGAGCGGGGTGCACTAGCAAGCCTCAGCGCCATGCCCCATTAGCCGAGGAATTCCTCTTGTAGTTTATGAATTTGAGCTAATTTATTTATGGATTTGGAGCGGTTTATTACTAAGTAAATACACCCAAATCCTGTCTCACCCTGTTTTGAAGTTTCATAATGTCTTAGTTTCAAGATCATACAATGAGGTTCTAGAAAAATATTATTGTTGGGTCACAGTTCAATGCCATTAGACACTGCTGGGACTCCTTTGCTTCCACTTAGTGTTTTCATGTCTTTCCAAAGAATGCCTTTCCTGGGTAGACGACATCTCTGGGCATGGTCTCAGCGATGTCTTCTGTGAGTATAACCCACTGGGGCTTACTACAGTAAGTATTAAGATTAATACTTGAGCATTTAAAAATCATAAATAGTTTACTAAAGATAGTTCTCAAAATTGCTTAATGTTCAAGAAGTGGGGCCAACATGCAATTTTAATTTAAATGTCCACCATTCCTCTAGGACTTCACAGATGTAATGGTCATAACTGCCAACACCAGCGATATTGTTAACATTAATTTTCACGTGTGTTAGGAATCCAGTTGCAGTAGTCATTGATGTTCGTTGTGTCAAATAAATCCAAATGCAGAGACTGAAAAGTAGCGATTGTTTGAAGATTAAAATGAGAGTAAATGCTCATTTTTCTGAACCACAAAAAAACTAAATACAACTCAGTATTAAGCAAGATGTTTTCTTTTTGTCTCTTGCTTGATAGGAAGACATTTCACTAAATAGGCTGAAATTTGGAGAAAGATAAAAACTTGCCCGGTGTTGCAGACCCATAATTATATTACCATAAGACTTCCAGGTGCTGTAAGGTAATATTGTAACTCCCAACCTGTTAGATGTGCGGCACACTGAGTTCATGTTCCTCAAAATTGAAGAATGAATTCGGAGGCACAACAGAGGTTAAAAGTAGGAAACTTTACTGGTGGAGAAACAGCTCTTGCTTGAGAGAGATAGGAGCAGACCCGGGAAGTGAGCGGAGCCCAGCTCCCTTCGCACGCGAAGCTGCACAGAGCAGAATCGCCAGGTCAACGCGCGCACAGTGGGGCAGAGCTGTGGTCAGCCAATCAGGTTACAGATCCAGCCACGTAGGTAATGTTGATCGCGGGAAACAAGTCACGCAGCAAGTGTACCTGGAAAGAACAAGGGCCTTTTCAAGAAGAGATGGATCAGGAGTTCCTGTTCCCACTTGGGGGACTGATGCCTGTCTGGACTATGATCACGGCAGATGTTTGTCCCTCAGGGAGGCACGTAGGCCTGGTCATTCCATCTTTATCTTGAGGCCTGGCCTTCAACAAATGCGCCTCCGGCCACAGTTGTGGTGCGCTCTGACTTGCGCGCTGACTCCTCCAAGGGCCTCGCTCTGTCTGACTGCCTGGAATATCTCTACCTAACTTAGCTATCTATTATAATATAAGGATACTTTATACAATATCCTTCTCTATTTTAAATGAGACCTGACCTAACCAGGTTTCTCCCATGGTTTGGAGCCATAAGTGAAAATTTAAAAGCCTCCAGAAATTCGAAGACTGATTGGATTAAGAATTTGGAAAGTAGAGCCTATTAAATGAGGCAAGAGTATGTGGGATTATTGGAAAACAGTCTTACAAAGAAAAACATACACTTTACACCTAAACACTGTTGGGTTTTATCTAATGCACCAAGCAAGACTACTGGAATGAATAATGTTCTGGAGTTACACATCATGTGGATTGAAATTGCAACCTCAGTATAACAACTGTGGGACATAGGAAAAGTTACCTAGTGTTTCTGAGTCTTGGTTTTCTGAAAAATAAAACAAGGATGAAAACAGTGGTGTTCTCTGAAAATTGGAGGAATTAAACGAGGCAAAGTGCAGGTATTTAGCACTACTTTTTTATATTTTTTATTTTATTTTATTTTTTAATGTATTTGGTATAGGGTCTCACTACACAGCTCAGACTCGTATTGATCCTCCTGTTTTCAGCCTCCGCAGTGCTGGGATTACAGGTGCATGCCAGCACACCTGGAGTTGGTGGCCCACTCAGTGAGCCTAAGGGCGGGACCTGTGTGGCACGTGGTGCCGAGGATCGAACCTGGGTCCCTGTGCTTGCCTAAGCAGGCGCTGAGTCTGCTGAGCTATCTCGCAGGCCCTTAGCCTGACTTCTGAATTACAGCAAGTGCTAAGTAGGTAGTGGGCTCTCTTCTTTGCGGTTCTAGGGGGAGTGGAAGCGTGGGGCAGCCCCTGTCTGTCACAGGAGCCGCTCCTATCTGATGGCCTAAGAAGGGGAGTGTAATTGCTCACATGAGGCATCACTACCAGCTCATTATCTTTCTGTAATCCTCATATTTGTAATATTTACCTCACATTACGGAATTACCTAGATGTTATCTTGATGTGCCTATAAATTGGATAAACATTAAAATATCATCTCTCTGTCACATTAGCTATACATTTTTCTTGTTGTTAAAGATTTTTTTTTTTAGCAAGAAAAATATACTTCACTTCAAGATTGGGATTAGGAGAGTCTAGATTTCTGCCCTTGCTAGATAGACTAAAATCAGGTTTTCAAAAAAAAAAATTAATTGTAAGATTTCAAATAAGCTTTAGGGCGTCATTGAAGCGTGCATCATCAACTGCTCATCACTTCTACCCTGAGGAATTAACAGTGGCAAATTGTCTAGCTCTCCTGTCTTTACAATTTCATGAAGGTTCAGAATTTAAAATTTTATTCTCTGCACTCAGTAGAATATCTGACAAGTCAGAGATGCTAACTTATAGGGCTAACGCTTGTGGGCAACAAATTCATCAATCGTTTTTAATTTCCTGATGTATATTTGACTCCAAGTCTATGTTCTTCGGAGGCAGAAATGGGTAGCCTGTTTTTATTCTACTGTAAACCTGCTGTCCATTAAGTTCTTTACTTATAACTAGAAACAAAAAATAAGTAGTTTTGCCTTACTTCCAACATTGGCATGTTTCTTTTTAAGCCTATTAAATGAAGCCAAGTCTTCTAAATTAGTTGCCGATGTAATACCTCAAAACTGATGGTTTCCTCTGTGAGCAAAAGCAAGTCTCAGGGCTGTGGCTTGTGGACGTCATCACTGGAACCATTTGTTTCTTGTTATTGTGCAAAGTTCTTGTGTGTGTGTTTTTTTATTTAAAATATGAGATAGGTGTTCCTCTTGCCCTGTTTCCTGAAAGGGTTTATGCCAGAAACTTTATCCAAAGACATCTGGGCAACTAGTGCTTCAGGAAACAGCAAGCTCTTGCCTTAGAATCTCGGTGAAATATGCTCCTTAATCCTGAAGGAATTTCACTCGACTTACTGGAAGACCTCAGCATGAGTGACACATGAGGGCCGACTCCGGGAGGCTGTACCAGGGAGGTGCCCTGGCAGGGATTTTTAATCCGTGGCACTCTGTGACTCAGAATAATAACCACTGATGAGGAGAGGCATTTGAGCTGCACTCCGGGGCCCGTACTTTCAATCCGAGCTTGTGATGTTGAACTATACTATGTGGCTGGGCAATTCTAGGATTATTTGAGCAGGCTGATTTTTTTCCATTGACCAGTTTCTAAAAAGTTGAAGTATGTTAGCTCTGAAATGCCACAACTGTAACAAATATGTGATTATTTAGTAGATCAAACCACCAATATTATTTCTTCTAGCAAGACTGTATCACTAAATACAGATGGAGAAATACTTTTCTTTATTTTTTAAAAACATGTACAACAAATCAAGGGGAAGGTAGTCTGTTTTTTGATTCTGAAATAATGCTTAGGTAGCTCACAATTAGTCCTCATCTCTCCTAGACTAAGAGCAATTACTCATCTTTCTCTGTAACATTTGATTTTATGAAATTTCTTCATCCAGTCACTTATGGAAGTACTTCTATATAGTAGGATGAGGACCCAGGGATTCAGGGATTCAGGGATGTTCAAGTACTCAGCTTATTTTAAGTACGTTTACAGTCTGCCTAAAGAATAAGTGTAGAACAGGGTTTCTAATTGCATCTGACCATGAGAAAAGAGGATATGGCAAATCAACGGGAAAAAAGGTGAGGATTTCTCTGAGGTATGAGACACTGGAATTTAACCTTTGTAAGTAGACAGGATTTTACAAATAGTCAAAGTATGTAATTGGCTTTCTAAGCAAAGGAAACATGACAGGATGAATCAACTGAATAGAAATTTAAGAAGCCAAGCAAGGTTGGGACTAGACAGAAAGGATCTTAGGCAAGATGCCGAGGACTTTAGACTTCGTACAAGCATAAGACACTGTCCCAGCTCTGAGTGACATTCAAGCAGAATTTTACTATGATTTTGTTTTCCCTCTCATTTGCTTCCTAAAGTGTCTTGATTTCATCTATTTTCTGTAGTAGAAAAAAAGAGAGAGAGCAATCACAGCCATGAAACAAACTGTGAAACTCTCCTCAGCATTTTCAAATGTAGTGACTCTTTAAGGAAATCTCTAAGTGTTGATTGCCATGAGAGGTTTGTACCTAGAGGCCCATATGCTTCAGGTGCTCACAGGGAGTGCATCTGAGAGGTGACGGAGCCGAGGGAGCAGGTGCTCTTTGGTGTACTGATGAGCTCCTTACCAAGGGTGAAGCTGGCAGGCCACGCCTGGTCAGAGGAGGTGGGCACTGGGGGTGGTCTGCCAGGTGCGTCTCGTCC